ATAACTGCCTTGTTTAGCAACCATTTGAAGTTGCAACAGTATAAAAAGCTTGGATTTATGATGGAAGATGCAGAAATAAAATCATAAGTCGTGGTTATATGATGTTTTGCTGAAAGACTATGGTGACTCACTGAATAACTGAATGGGGGGAGTAAAGTCATCAGATTTTTGACTTAGCAGCTGCAGTGATTAGCAACAGAACTGCTGGCCCCAATTTTGACAGCGAAGTGAGGACTCCCTGTATTCTAATGCACCAGGGTTGATTTCAGAATAGATGTGCACAGGATTTCATTCCTTTTGTCATTAATATATGCTGGACTGTACTCAGAAGCAAATATTTCCATTTTTGACAATATTTCCAAGGTCCCAGTGCAGTCTGGATGGGACTTTTCCTATGAGACATTTCTTCTCAGTGCCAGGAAAGCTTTACTTGAATTTGCATATTTGCAATTAAGGCAATGAAGGTCTGGCTGAAGAGCTGTAACTAAGCTGCTTTCTATTGCAGTCTTGAAACAAATTGAGGTGGGACACGGTGCTTACTTTATTCTTTCTCTCACCCCCCCACCCCCCCAAGCCTGGGCTTTGTTTTTTGTTCTTTAACAAATGACTGCTTTTCTCTGCCAAGTGGACAACTTGGCTAACTGAGAAAAATGTTCCATACTGAAATTAATAATCTGTTTTCACTAATTACAAACACAGCTAAAAAAGCAACAGAAGAGGCCGGGTTACAATTCTCTGAGTCAAAACAATATTAAATATGCATCAGGAGTAAATTTGTAGTGGAAAGAAAATGGTATTTTTTTAATTCATGCACTTCTTTTCGTTAGAGGATGAGCAGAATATGGCTTTAGAATCCTTCTCCCAGTAAACACACAGACCCTCACACAGTACATTTGTAGACACACACATATACAAAGGGCTTAATTTAAAACATACTGCTTTATATGAAAAATTAATACACATTTAAACTATTTGTTCTAAACATCCCCTTCAAGAAATATTGGATCAGGCTTCCCATCCTTCTCAGTCATTGCAAATGCTGAGAACTATAGTTCCAATTAACCAGAAGACAGCAGATAGGATGAGAAAGGCATACATGCATACTACTATGCATATATAGGCAGTTTTTTCACTTTATTGCATTTAGATGGGGTATTTTTAGAGCAGGGTTGTTACATGTAGCTTTTTAGAGCTACACGAGTTACATGTAGCTATGTTTATTCAGCGCCCTAAGACAAATAAAAAACACACCCCTACATTATATCCTAGGGTACTGTATACAAGTTTTTCACCAGTCACATCTTCAGTTTTATGTTACTCAACTCTAAGGAGTCTTGTACAGTTATGTGTGTATGTAAAAATTCCTCACCTCTAGCATCCTATTGCTCATCTACTCCCAAGCTGTTGCACCTTTATTTGAACATGAGGTCTTTTTTGGTTCTGGTACTTCCTTAGCTATGGAGGTAGGTACCATTCTTTCTCTCATGTTTTGCCTGCTGCAGAGTCGTGATGGCACAGTGGTTAGAATGCAGTACTGCAGGCTGACTCACTGCTTACTCCAGGAGTTCGGTTCTGAACTTCCAAGGTCGGTAAAATGAGGACCCAGATTGTTGAGGGCAATATGCTGACTCTGTAAACTACTTAGAAACAGCTGTAGGGCACTATGAAATGGTATATAAGTCTTAAGTGCTATTGCTATTGGGTAACATTAACTCACTTGCTCTCAGGGAGGAGGGCTATTCATGGTTGTAATTTCAAATCTGCCAATGAGATCTGAAATATGTTTAATAGGCAATTGATGGTTCTACTGCTAATACAGAAATGTTGGTCATGACCTAGTAAAAGTTAAGTATTTGAGGCCACAATGAATTCATAAGATCAGGTTATATATCTGCCTTGAAATCAGATTGATCTAAATGCTGTACCACATTAAAGGTGTTTGTGGCTAAGCCTTGCATATTTTTTGGTATTTCTTCTTAGGTATTACACCTAAGGTATTACTCCTGTAAGATACAGTGATATTAATAGGGCATTTTTGGGCAAAAAGGTTTAGATCTAAACATTAATCATTCTCAGAAAGAAAGAAGTAAACTTCTTAAATATAGGTGGTTCTTGACTTACAACCACAGTTGAGCCCAAAATGTCCACTGCTAAGCAAAGAGGTTTTTAAGCGACTTGCACCCCATTTTATGACCTTTTTTTGCCACAGTTGGTAAGGAAATCAGTGCAGATGTTGAGTGAATCATGTAGTTGTTAAGCAAATTTGTCTTTCCCTTTGCTTGTGGGAAGCCAGTTGGGAAAGCTGTAGATGGTGATCATATGACCTCAGGACAATACAACTGTCATAAATACATGCCAATTGCCATGTGCCAAATTGTAACCACGTGACCATGAGGATGCTACAGTGGTGGTAAGTGTGAAAACTGGTGATAAATCACTTTTAAAGTACCATTGTAACTTTGAATGGTCATTAAATGAATGGTTGTAACTTGAGGACTACCTGTAAGACAGCAATACTGTTTCTTTATCCCATCTCCACTCTTCTTGAAAAGTATTGAAGTTTTTAGATTAACAATTTTCCTGTGCTTTAAGGAGTCGAAACCTGCATTATGTATTACATTTCACTACTCTCCTTTTTGATAATTGTTTCAATAATCTTCCCAGATCCAATGGAATCAAACTAAACCAATATCCCAGGCAGAAATTGTTTTATATTGTGACTAAAAATCTGATGGTTTGTGAACTGCAGCAATGGAAGGAGATCAATATCAATAAAGATAATGAAAAGGAATCTCCTCGAATTGCATTATATAAATGATTTTCAAAACAGTTTATTACCAAGTAAAGAAAAGAGAAAATTAATAGTTTGATGGACAGTAAATCAGTCTCCTCCTAATTCCAATCAGAATGACTTTTTTTAAAAGGCGTAGATTCTTGAAAATAGTAACATTTGGGTGATTTCACCAGAATTTTGAACAATGGAATGTTCTTGTAAGAATGGTCTTACTAGTTAGCTTGTTGGCTTTAGCTTTGATGGAATTTGCTACATAATATAGGGCCCCAATTTCTGGTTTCTGGTCTAGCTCAGCATGTTGGGAGAAGCAGCCCTGCTGATTCACTTCTCAAATTTCTAAGTCTAAGTCAAAGCAAAAATGTTTTATGGAAATTGGGGAGTAAGATGCTAGTATACTAGTATGAAAGAGAGAAAGAAGTCAAAACTTTTCTGATATTAGCATTCTCATCTGAAATCTTTTGAGATTTGGCATTCTTGCTCGAAATCTCAAAAGTATTTAAGATAGAAACAGTAACAATTGATAAAATTTGGTGAATTTTTCAGATATTAAAATAACATATCAAATGTATTTATTTTTAAGAATCTATATGGTCACTAAGAGTCAACAACAATTTGATGACATAATCACTATAAACAGGTAATCTATATTTTTATTGATTTCTGTTTTTAAAAGGCAGTTAAGAGTATTGTAGCATTTATTTTAAAATACCACAGTTTTATTGTAAGCTTGTCAAAGCAGAATACTTGATGTATCTGATGACAGTAGTTCCAACAAGCCTGAAGTCTTCCATTTCCTGTTTGAACACTACTTAAGAGATAATTTCTAAACTCCAGAATAAATTCCTTATGACTCAGATTTAGGATAAAGTGATTGTGAAAGAAAGAAGAGAGAGATATCAATGCAAATAATTTCTAACTTGTCTTAAAAGAAAGTTCAGTTCATTCTTCTGGTAGAAAAACAGGTGCCAGTCTATAACACTAAGTTGTAGAAGTGGAAAGAGAACTGCTAACACCTTTCATACCTCTTCCTATTCTGACAGTTTTCTTGCAAACCCGGGTTTTGTTTTGTTTTTTTGCCTCTCTCAGTTTCTTTTTCTTAGTCCTTTTCTTTCCCTTTGCCTTCCCACTCTTGCCCCCCCCTCCCCGGCGGTATCATCTTGTGGACTTCTTTGCTCCTTTTGACTATTTCTATAGTCCTTACCTAAAATAGAATTAAGGGAAGTTATTTAGAGCAAAAAAGATGAAAGGTGTTATGTATCTCTTTGGGCACATGAGATAAGTTATTGTGAATTGAGTGACACCAGCTTTAGTTCATAATGGACTCTGTGGGTTCTTTGATGCTCTCTGAACTTGATTGTTTTGTTGCAGACTTTCATCACTAAACTAGGTAACATCATCATGAAATGTTTTCAAGCAAACAACGAAGTTCAGAGAGCATCCAGAACCCCACAGTTCAACCCTGAGCCACAAATATTACCTTATTTATCTGTTTCTACTTTTTGTTTTCATCTTCAGTGCTTCCGATTGTGACATGATTTTAGATACTGTTCATTTCTATGAGTGGTGGATGTGGACTAGATTAATGTATACATTTTCAAAGGTTTTGAAATGTTTGTTCTGTGTAATGGTGGTACAGTTTTAAAACAAGAGGCATTCTTTTTATGAATATGAAGCAAAACATGCAGTAGATGGAGCAAGGTTTAGAATCTCTAGCTTGTTTTTTACATTTTTCCACTCATATAAATGTGTACGGACAGAATAATCAGATACACACCATCATGTACCTACACAGCTGATCCCTCATAATTCTAAAATCTAGCATCAACCAATGACATTAATAGTTAATGGATGGGTGGAGGTCGTAGAACAGAACGTGCTGCTTCAGACAACCCATAATTAATATATTGTGCTGCCACTAAGATGATCATTGATTTAGAATGGTTTCAAAGAAGGGCTAGGTCTTTTACGGGATGTTCCCTTCGACTGTTCCATGGATTCTCCATGCTCAGTTGTTTTATATAACCAGGGCAGCAGGTTGCCTTAAATGTGACTTTTCATTTTGGCTATAATGGAAGAAAAAAACCCTTGAGCATAAGAATGTTCCAAAAGATGGGAAGATGTTATGGTGAAATGGAAGTCAACTTTTACACGTAAGGGGCATCTGTTGTCCTGCTGAAACATGACCTACTTTGTCCATTTCTCTCAGGCGGCAAACTGCAGAAGAACGGGAAGCAGAGCGGCAGCAAGCCAATCGCATCCTCATGCAGCTCCAGCAAGAGGCCTTCCAGAAAACCATCAATCAGCCCATCCAAGCAGACCCAATCTGTGTTCACAATTCCTCCCTCTTTGCCCTCCAGAACCTTCAGCCATGGTCAGATGACACTTCCAAGATCACCAGCGTTACTTCTGTGGCCTCTTCCTGTGAGTGAAATCATAACTTTGTCCATGCACGGACTCTTGTATTACAGAGTGGCTGGCCTTATTCAGCAGCATCATCCGTAGAAGACATGGTTACCTATGAATGAGCCAGTGGCAGCAACCAGACAATGTCCCTTTGGTAGCCAAGGCTCCGAAAGGTCATCCAGTGCTGGTCTAGTGGAATGTTCTAATAAAAAGCAACACTTTCCTACTTCCTTCTTCATCGTCATCACCATCACTATCAACAACTTCTTGAAAAGAGTAACATTGGAACGTTTGAAAACTCTTTTGGAGAGAAAACAACCCAAGGTTCTTCCTTTGAGCCATTTTTAAGAAACAACTTCTATATCATTTTATCTGCTGACAAACAGTTGTTCTCCCATGTAAGTATTGCAGGCTGATCATTTCAAGAAAAACCACAATAGCGATCTGAATGAAGAATACGAACCTTTTTTTTTAACAACTGCATCTCCTGCTGGAGCCCTTTTCTTAAAAGACATTTAGATTTTACAAATAAATAAAATCTCGCTCCTTTCTCTTTTGTCTTTTCCAAGATGAACTCCTTGGGTTTTTCTTGATTTATTTCTTTTTGTTCTGCTGAAGGAATGTTAATACTAGAACGACTGAGAAATGCAAAGCTTGCCTCATAAACTCTTGTGTCGAGGCTGAAATCAGTTTCACAGCTATCCACGGACTCTGCATTGATCAACTTATATTTTAATATCTCTGAGGCATCTGTGGCATTTTGCAGGGGTAATGCAGTTTTACTTGATAGATTATTTTGGTATTGTTGATGATATTGTTCAATATTTTATTTACCTTTGCTGAAGGAGTCTGCTCCACAAAAGAGGGAATGTGAACCAAACAGAACATCCTACTTTTTCCATTTCTTGACCAGTAATTTCACAGTTTTTTTTATTGTATTGAGGAAAAGCTTGTGATTAATTTAAGCACTTCTTACAGCAAATTTCAAGAAGATACAAAATATCTAAAATATATAGGGGTTTTTTTTTAGTTACTTTTTAACCTATGCATCATTTATATTTAAAATGAGATGGTACACACAGCCAATTTATCAAAAAGAAATATTTTAGTGAGTTTCTGAGATGCATTCTTTGGGTTTGTTTTTAAGTTATGCACTTATAAGAAGGTTTCTTTTTTTGTGTAATCATTTTCTAAAGTGTTTGTGTAATTTATGTGGAAAAATGAATAAAAGGGGCAAAGTATTAGTCTCAATTATTAGAAATAACTTTTTTAAAATGACATTTCTTCACCTGACTTTTGTGTTGATTTTTCTAGAGGAATATAGTTTCAAAGATAAATCAGTAGCTGCCCGAAAGACCTACTGTGAGCTATGATAGAGAGGGGAATCTCTACTTTTTTAGTTTACTTCAATTTTGTATCCTATTGAGTATATTCTTAATTTCAAGCATAAAACTTGAAAATTAACCAAGGCTATAAACACACATAGACCATCCAACCAGTTTTTCCCACTCTGGGAACTTCAAGAAGTGCTAAACTATAACTATCATCTCTTTTCTAGCACATTTGGAGATTTTCAGTTTTGGCTAAATTGAATTATAAAATATATTTAAATATTAAGTAATAGGTAAACTAAATGCCGATTGCTCTGATCTTTTTATGTCTAATTTTTAAGAAGAAGAACTGTAGTTTCTGTTGTTTGTAATGAAAAGGTAATCTTACATTAAAACAGAATGATGATTCTGTTCACAGAAACCATGAACAAACATTAATATAAAAAAATGAAGAAGCTGGAAAACTTAGCGCGGCACAAATTCCAGCAGCTCAAAAATGCTCCAAGAACTCTCCCCACGAGCGACAGGCAGTTTAAGCCCATGGGGAGATTCATCGAATTCCAAAACATACTGTTTTTATATAAAGCCTCCTGCCAGCATATTAAATTATCTTTGTTTTCCTGGCATAAGAAATGCTGGATATTTATTTTTAAAACTTTTTTTACTTTATTAAATATTACTTTTTATTTATCAGCTACCCACTCCACGAGACTCTGGGCAGCTTACAAATCCGAATATATAATTGAAACTGTCAATTGAAACAGTCAAAAGCATGAAACAAAACAGCCATCTTCATAGCTTTATCTGGAATATCACCAGTTGGCTTCACGCAATGCATTAAATCCTAAATATAACTGATTAACAAAACACTAGTTTTGGGTTCCCACATATTAAGCCCAAATAAACCATGTTAAATGATGGCCTGTTTCACATTATGTGCTAAATCAATGACTGAATTTTCACAGTATGTTGAATAACAATGTAGGGTAATTCCATTTTACCATAGATTAGTATGTGGCGTGAACCTAGCCAATTCTATCTGAATAATATAAGTTCTAGAAAGGGGAGTGGTGTGAATATCGTACATGGTTTCAAAAATATGTGTTAATCACATTTTAAAATGTGTGCCTTGTTCCCACCCCCCAATACCTGCCAGCTCATATCTGTACATAGAATAAAAGGAATACAATTTTGTCCTTTGTCTCAAATAGTAAAAATTCTTAAATTGATTGCTACAAGATTTGCCCGATGATTAAGATAATGGTGGAATCATTGGTGCTCTCTGAACTTGGTTGTTTTCTTGCCGTTGGGTACTTAGGTAATGAAATGTCTTTAAGCAAACAACCAAGTTCAGAGAGCAACAACAACAAATCCACAATTCAAACCTGAGTTACGTATATTCTCTTCTATTAAGTTAGGCTAATGTAAAATTATGTTGGATTTAATCCAATAAGTAAAATTATCATTCTGATAGATTGCTGCTTTGGCCATTCCTTTAACCTTCTTCAGAATTCTGCTATATTACATTTCTTATTTGGAGTTCATAGGGTAGAAATATGAGTGGATGACATTTCTCAATTTTGGAGGATTAGTGATGAATTCCTAGTTATCAGCCAGCCTTATGCAGTAGATACTGTACAACAGGGTGATAATGTAAGTCAACCTTCTGGGGAAGATAGGAAGATATTTCAAGAAGCGAGCAGTGGCTGTTTTTTTTTTCAGAATGTGCATGAGATTTGGCTAAATCCCAGATTTTGAGATGAAGGGGTATAATTTAGACCTAATTTTCAATGTTCTGAAGCGGAGTAGGCTAGTTTGAACTTGAGCTGTCCTTAATATAGTGCCAGCTCCAATGTAATATCTTGCAATGTATGCCTTGTGGCAAAGAGAGAAAGTACCATGATTCCGATATGCATGGCCAAGCCGCTGTCCTGCAAGCAGAAAAAACCACAAGCCTGTATCAGGTGCAAAGCTCCATCAGCCCCCAAGACCTCTTCCAAAGAATCCTGCATTGGGAGAAGATAGGATGTGCTGCGCTAAATTTTTCAGGATCTATAGACATTTATCTTTGTGACTTGATTTATTCTTCGTCACTTAATATCTTGGATTATAGTATAATTATCCCAGGGATGTCCACAGGGTATGGTCAGAAAATTCAAGGGGTGCCACAACACTGTGATTGAGGCTCTATTTTTTTTATCGGTGCAACACATCTTGACTTCTTTGGCTATACCCTGTGGAGACCCCTCTCTCCGTTCAGAAGTTGTCCTTTGAAATAAGCCTCCTTTCTGAGAAGCTAGCCATGATGAAAAAGCAAGGGCAAAGCTGCTCCCTCTCACAGACTTCACAGCGCTTTGGCTTTGCTCAGGTAAACAGCTGAAGCTTGAAACAACTTGCTCTAACTGGCCTCCCAAGAATGTGTCAGTTCCTTGTCACCAGAGCGCCGTTGCTGCTTTCTCTGCCTGCCTCTCTGAGGCTGTTCCAGATGGAAAACAATAAGGAATCAAAATATTTCAAAGACCGAGAGAAGGGAGGGAGAAAGGGAGATGGGACTGAAGATGTGAAAACACATGGTGTCAAAGAGAGACATTCGTCAAAATAGAGGGAAAGCTGTAATATCCTCAGGGTAAACAATTCTGAGAGTTTCTAAAAAGTGTTTCTTTTATGGATATCATACTTACGGTGAGTTTTTAATATATATCCTTTCGACTTGCCTCCATTATGGTGAAGGCTTTCAGTAAGCAAGGCATCCTTGTCACTGGACGTCTCAAGGGCATAGCTCTCTTCAGGCTGAGAACTAGATTCCTGTGGCCTTTTTAAATGGCATGGGGGCACGCTGAAAAATGAGAGGGGTCTCATTGTAAAAGAGGGTGGGGCAAAAAAAAAGATTTTAGAAGGCATGCAGTGACTGATCATTTAGTAATCTATAACATTTAGCACAAAAATTTACACATACAGTGAACCCCAATTCCCAGATTTGGAATAAATGAGGAATGTGTTAATTGAATGAAAGAAATGAATTTCATTACAATAATTGTATTCAGTTTAATGCAATTATTAAAAATAATATACTCCTGCAACTTTCTGTCATAGGCATAATTTCCTATGGATATACACACCTTTATAAATGCAGAAAAGGGCACATGTGCATGCATGCAAGAAAATCTGCTCGGTTATATTTTATTTCTCATTCGTAGTAATGTTGGAAGCAGATTAGAGAAAACTGCAGAAAATCGTAGTCAAGGGATATGATACATTGTGGAGAACAATGACAGGAGACTATATTTGATCCCAGATAGACTAGCGAAAATGTATAAAGAATTTCTAATAAGTGCTGGAAACGTAGTCAAAATCCAGGTTCATTTTATTTTTATATAGTAGTCTCGCATATGTGAAAACATACAGGATAAATATAATGACAATGCGGAAAATATTTAAGTTACAAATATTAATGACACCTGAAGCTTTTCTTTTAGGTATGGACAAGCCAATTGAAAATCAATTTGGGGTGCTATTCCTTTACATGGTGACGGCTGCAAGGACTTGCCAAACACTGGAAAGAAAAAGGGATGTCAACCGTTTAAAAATGGATTTTGAAATTGACTGAAGTAGCAAAGATGGCTAAATTAACTGATTCGATTCGAGATAATGGAGTAGACCACTTTATAAGAGATTGGAAACTGTTTGTGGATTTT